GTGCAGCCCCAGAATGTCATTTGTAACTGTGTGTTTCCACCTTTTGTTTGCAAACAGCAGCAATAAGAGGCCAGGAGGATGGACCTTCCCACTTTATGACTGGACTACCCAGCTGCAGAAAGGGCAGCACTCTATGAACAAGGGGGGGAACTTTATCCTGGGTAACAAAGGAAAGAAAACCTATAGCAAATTTCAAGATGTAAGCATGTCAGGAGCTTTTCTTTACCAGTGGGCTAAGAGCCAAAGCAGCAATTCCAGTAAAATGAAGGCTTTAGAGCATATGGCCACTCAATGTTAGCAGGTCACCCAGACATTATACACTAGGATGTCAGAGAAACTTAGTCACTATAAGTCTGATGTGTGAGATGCTATGATAGAATACGATGTCCTTATTTTCCAGGGGCAGGGCTTGAAGGCCCTCTCTACTCATCCTGCTTCATTAGTAGCTAAGAGCAGCGGTGCACTTAGAGAGAACATTCTCTTCATAGGTTTTTGGGGTAAAGCTACTTCAGAAGGCCACCTACTGCTTGAGGTAATTATGTTTTGGTTCTGCCAATTTGCTCCTGTGGTACAGCTTGTCTCTTGGTGACATTGACACAAATGGGAATGCACTGTATGTGCCTACAGTAAACTCACATTTCAGACATTTTGAGGCTATGAGGGTTTCTCTTGGGGGGCTCTGAAAACAACTATCAGTGTCTTAATTTTCAGGTCTGATTTGAAAGTGAGATGGCTTATAATAAACAAGCTGAGGCTCCAGTAATTTACAAGGAGGTTTCTTTTCAGCACCAACTTGGGCAAATCCTTGTATCATAAATGCAAATAAAGAATCAAATAAGGAAATACGCTGCTGCAAATATTGCAAAATTTTAAATGGCCCAGTTTTTCCACAGCATACAATTTATTACACTGGTGGGGGGAGGGTTGTAAATAAAGAGGGAATATTAAACACTGCCTATGAAACAGCCAAATTATTTCAGATATGTAATTCTAAGAATTAGATTCTAGATTAGATGCTCTTATGTTTAGACTAGTTAAATGCACCTTCCAGCCTGGTATCACCCAGTGCATCTATTCTGATGGAAAGAAGCCAGGTTGACATTAGAGTGTTTCCCTTTGCCAGCTCCTTTTCCTACTCCCTCAATCTTTTTTGGGAGCTTTGTGCCTTCACATTACCTGCTTGAACTTCTATGACCCCCCCACATAGACTGATCTTTCAATGATCAGTGGAGCAGAAGTAGTTGCAGCAGCTATGAAAACTAGGCTCAAAACAGTGTAAGCAACAACAAAAAAGGGAGGACGGGTCCTGGCTGACAGAGAAGGACAGGTGTAGGCTTTTTTAAAATAAGCCAGACATGTCAGTCTACTTGCTATGGACAATGGAGCCTACCTGTTCAGGAGCGGAGTTCTTTCTACCAAAATGGTTTTGCTGGCGCTTACACTGGGACCATGTCTTTTCTCTAGGCAGAAATGTAAAGAAGAAATGCTTCACAAAGGTGAAGTTTTGGTGGCTGGACACCATTATTGCTCAGCTAGGGCTGGTAAAAGTATTGCTCTCCCCTTGCCTCTTTTGGTGAGGCATTCCTCCTGCTGCTGAGTGGGCAAGTATTAATCAGTTGGTTTGCTGCCAAGAGGAATGTCCCTCAGGTTTTAAGTAATGCAGAGCTCTTTTCAGTATCCCAAGAAGCACATACTGGCTGAGCGCATCACACCATATCTATCCAGCACAGGGCTGGCAGGCTCTTTTCATGGACACATTGTTCTCTACACATTATTGCCTTGTTCAATTATTTATGGTGCCACTACATTTAGGCTGGGATTTTTCAAAGGAGCCCAATGGATTCAAGTGCCCAATTACCATCAAAATTCGATGGGATTTGGGTAAATAAATCCCTAGAATTCCTTTGAAAATCCCAGCTTTATTCTCCCTCCAGAAGAATCATCATGTTCCTGTAGCCAAGATGTCCTACAGTAGTTCATACCACCATGGGTACGTCTAGACTATATTCCTCTTTCGACAGAGGGATGTAAATTAGACACTTTGAAATTGCAAATGAAGCCGGGATTTGAATTTCCCACGCTTCATTTGCATAATTGCATCATGGCGCTCTTTCAAAAAAGCGTGATTTTGAAAGTGAAACCACAGTCTAGATGCAGTTCTTTCGCAAATAGAAGCCTTTTTCGAAAGATCTTGTAAACCAAAAAATGAGGCCAAAGTTCCAGATTATGATTTCTGTTAACGCTTATAGTACATCAGTGTTTTGAGTGATGCAAAGAAAGAAGGATTCTCTGACACATTCGGTCTTGCTCCATATGCATAGGAGGTAATGGGCTGACAGCTAGAAAACTCACCTGAAAGACGTTTTAAACTGATTTTTTTTAACCTATCCAGTCATCATCTTTTTAAACAAAAAACAAACAAGAGCTGGCTCTTTAGTGCTAGGCCTTGGCTTGTATGAAGAGTATTCAATAGTAGTGGCCTTCACCATTTCTGTTTTTCCACTCAACAGAATTTGCTTTAATATCAGGATTTACAGAGTTAGTAGGAAATTAGCCCAGTGAGTTAGAATTAGCACAATGCTTTCACATGAGAAACAACTGCTGCTGGAAGATGAACAGGATTCTAAGTTCACAAGCCGGGTGGAGGGCTAACACTTGAAAGAAATTAAGCAGTTGGATATCAGGGAGGGACAAAATCTTCCATCTTAGAAACCCCAACTTAGATTAAATATGAAGCAGCACGGCCATCATACTCCAGCACAGAACTGGGAACTGCAGCAACTGGACAGACAGATGTGGGAGTGAAGCTGTGGCCCTGGATACATGAGGTAAAGCTGAGTGCAACTTTAGAACCAGCTTTTTAATTATGGGGGAGGGCAAATGAAACAAGGGAAAGCTCGTACTGATGTGTACAAGGTACAAATACATGTTAAACCTTTGGCAGCAAGTTAATAACACTTCACAAGTCTGGCTATTGTGAACTGGAGAGGGCAGGGGAGGGGAGAGATTACTTACCCCTATGATATTAGCTGCAGGGATGTACTTTTGTTTCCTTGCTGTACCCGAGTTTCCCTCTTCTAGAGGCTTCTCCGAACTGGTTAGGTAATTTAATTTCACCTTCTAGTCCAAAGTCCATCCCATCTGGACTAAACAGTCCAAAGTCCCACCACTTTCTTGTCTCCATGTTCTGGCTCTGCAGAGAGTCTTCCTCCCACTCCCAGATGCAGGTGGGGGGGGGGGAGTGTCTTCTTGTTTCTTCCAGGAAGTTCAGGTACAGACCCCCCCACTCCTGCTCCACTCAGGGCTATAGCCCTGAGGTGCTAACAAAGGCATCCACTCCAGCCTCAGACATACATTTCATTATTCCCTCAAAGCAACTTTGGTCTGCATACTTCTTAGGCCTTAACCCTGGCCTTACTTCATTACTTCAGCTTAGCGTACAGCACCCCACCAGCAGGCACTTGTTCCAATTCCTCTTCCCAATCTATTCAGCCAAGCCCCACCTGAGCTCTGTCTCCACCCCAGCCTCTGAGAGCGAGCCAACAGGAATCCAAGGGCGCTTCCCCAAGATCAGCTCCAGCTGAGATGAAGGGAGATTTTTTTTATACTTGTGGC